CACACACACACACACACACACACACACACACACATATAATATAAAGCTGAATCATAGTTCGATAATAAATAAATATTATCTTTACTAAAAGGTTTTCATATTAATTCAGTATAAATAAATACATATTCATACTCTATAACTGCAATTTAATTTTTATTTAAAAGATTTATTTTACTACATTAGTTGCCTTTGAATTGCATATAGTAAACAAAAGCATTCAATTTCATTTTATTTGATACAGAAGAATAGATTTAATTTTATAGAATATTATTTCTTGAGATTCTACTGGAAAAATAACGAAGTTCTTACATTATAAGGCAGTAATAATAAATTATATAAATCGATAGTATAAATTCACCATTTGGAAGATATACATTTAATATAGTAAATAAAAATAACCATAAACGTTAATTTAGACATTATTATGATTTTCTAAATAAATTGAATACAAAACTCAGTTATGGATATTTATTTACCTAAAACGAATGAAAATCGAGTTTCCAGAACTTCAAAGTAAAGTGATTTAACAATTTTAATGGAATGTATTGTTACTAAAATATGAGATTTCGAGAAAGGAAAAACACTTATTCAAACAATACGTACGGATAAGTAGGATATAATATGTTATATATTATTGCTACGATGGACGAAGTCCGCTATAGTTTATCGTATAGCGTGATTCGAATACTTACAAGTAGATAATGCGTATTTGTTATAAAATATTATTGAACCTTGACAGTTGTACCAAACATCGTTTTACGAAAAATCATCTCAAACACATATTTATATCACAATAAATTAATAATACTCAGATATTTCCACGTTTGGTAAAATTACTGAGAACGAGTGTGAATGGACTTAAAGAAAAAAGTAAAATATCCTATCTTAATGATATTTTATTTTAATTATTGACGGTAATATAGATACTTGCAGATGAAGAGTATTTATAAATTGTGTTTCGAGGGAAAAATCGGATAACGTCATATAACAGTATACAGTCATGAAAATTCCGTTAGAGAGGGGAGTCTCACTTTTATTTTTTTAGTTATGGGAAATTTAACTGTTTTTTAAATAGTACCGAACCTGCAATAGAAAATTGACTGTCAAATACATATAACTAACATTTTACGGAAGTAAACAAAATAAATTATCATGTTGATATATGCTAAATACATTACAACTGACCACGGTACCTATGAAATTATTTAACCCTGTAACTAATAAATGATTATAATAACAGCATTACTCGGGAAACATGGAAGATACAAAGAATAAAATATGTTAAGATATTTTAGTAATTATTCAGTAGAATAGTAAAATACAAATTATAGTGAATGTAGTATTGTGTATAATTATACGCGATTTATACTTTCAAAAATGCTAATCAAACTAGATTTTATATTTCTGGTTAATTATATATGTTAGTAATACAACAAAATAATATCTTTAAAATTAAAAAAAATTCGATATAAAGTTAAAAAGTTTTGAAAATATATCAGTAAATGTGTGGTAGATTCGGTTTTGTTTAAAAAAATAAAATAGTTAGTTTTTCTTAAGTTTTTTCTTTTATAAATTAAGGTAATCTGTAAAATCCAGTCGGCAATTTCTCTTTGGAATATATTGTATTAATATATGATTTTCTATTTTGTTATACAATTTAGTACCTACTTCTGAATTATTATATAGGTGAGCTAAACATTTAAATTGCAATTTAAATGCGATAGAAGATAACATATAGAGTTATATTATAAATATAATTTACATTATAAATTTAACATATTTATGTTTAAAATTATGTATTTTTTGTTCTTTTTTATTCTTTAAGAAGTATAAATTAGTATGATACTTTTAAAAGTTGGCTTTATGACATATTTAGTCATTCTAATTCATACATTCATTCTTTATTTCTTCTTAAAACTTTTAAATAATTATTTGGCTTAAAACGAAATAATTATTGTTTAATAGTTCATTAATATATAAAAAATAAATAATTTATGGGCCTAAAAAATGCGTATACTTTATTTAATTTAAATTTAAATATTTTCGAATTTCTTTATTTGTAAGGTGTTTATAATTCGACTTTTTTTTTGTACGTGACCTAATTTCTTACTATTTACAAAGTACATTTTGTTATTATCATCAAAAAATTTGTACGTGACAATAATTTAAGTATCTAAAAAATTAATTTTAAAGTTTCTTGGGAAATTATATTTAAAAATACCACAATTTTCTTAGATACTTACACTATTAAAAAAAAACAAAAAAAAAACAATAATGATAAATAAGTACAAAAATATTGCTATTATATGAAAATAAATTTTAATAATTTTTTACACTAAGATAATTATAATTTAATCTATTTAATGTCAAAATTTTATTTTATGTATTACCTATCTGAGTTAGGTATCTTATTACCTATCTGTAATAATATTTTTGAAAACGAATTTCGAATTTGATTAAAGTGGATTGACCTATATTATATTTTGTTATTATTTTCTTTTTAATATGTTATTACAATTTAAAAATTGTTTTTTATTTAATTATGTGAAAAAAAATAATTTATGCCTTTTTACTGAATAATATTTTCAATTGCATTGTCAAATGACAAAAATAAATACACATACCGATATAAAAGAAATGTTTGGGTTGATTAATTTTTAATTACATTATAGTATATATATATGTATATATAAAACAGATAAAACTCTGAAGTATTTTCATTATACTAATGAATTGGTTTCTTATTGACGAAAACTGTGGGAAAAGGAATAAAAGGATTCAACACTTAATGTTATATTATATTTAAAAACAATACCTTAGCATATAAAGTATATCTCCATCAGGTTTGATGCGTATTAGCACGTTGGGCACAGTGACAAATTGAAATTCTGCATGTTTTGCATTTGGAAAATAAACTTCAGGTTTCCAGATAGCTTTGACTAAATTTGGATCATTTAGGTCTAGTGATTCCGTTATATCTTTATGTTGTAATCTCGCATCTTGCCATTTTTGTCGTAAATATAGGTCTACCTCATAGTCCTGTGAAATAAATATTTAATTATAAGTTATTCAAAGTATGTGGGTACGTATACCAGTTATTGTTATTTATATACACATTACAAAAACTATATATTTTGTCTTTACACAGTATATAGTTTATACTACCACTAGATAGTGACACGAATGTGCTTTATTAATCTAAAGATATTGTATAAATTATAATAATTAAAGCCTAATTAATTGTTAAGATATTTTTTCTTTTGTCTGAAAATAATTGAGCAAATCATGCGAAGTATACAAATTATTGTATATTTTACTTTTAAAGTCTAGTATTATGAAATTATTAAGAGTACACGTACTAAGACCGATTTAATAAGCGTCAATAGCTAATGTTTTTTTTTAAAGTATTACGGTGTCTCATTTTTACTAAAAAATCACTTTTTATTTAACTGTATAATCGACACAATCATACTGCATTTATGGAACAGCGAAAAAAGTGTGGCTATATAAATACATGATTTTTTTTTTTATAACCTACGATATTTGTGGATTTTAGTATTTTCGAAAGAAATAACAATAAGTACCCGCTTCTGAAGGTTTCTTCTATATTATAAGGCGTTGAAATAAGTGACACTCGTATTCAGATAATATTTACATACATAAAAAAAAAATACCACGAAAGTACAGTATTATTGCTTATTTTCTTTGTCAACATCGATTCTCCATTTTAAACACGCGTGTATTTGATTTTTCTTATTTTTAAGTTAAAACTAGTACGCATATGGAATATACGTATTTTGTGTACTTTTCTAAATGCGATGAATTCATAATTCCGTATATAAAATAAAATTTGTTACTTTTTTGTTAAAAATTATTTCACTACATGGACAACAATTGACACTGGTAAGTAACCATTATTATTAATTGGATTTATAACATATAATTGAATAATAATAGTTTTAATTATAAAACACGTTGAATTTGTTATTTTTATAAAAGTATTTCTTCAAAATTAGAGTGTTGTTTTTATATCGCGCTGTCACCAATTTGAACGTTAATTATATTGGATATGATATAATAATAGAAATATATTTAATATTTATTGTCATTTCTTCTTTTATTTGTTAATTTTAATAGTAACTAATTACTGACTCTTCAAATTCTATTAAACATTGGGGAAAAAAGTTTTATTAGCCACCTTGAAAAAACTTTGTTATTAATTCGATCAAATCAAATAAAAAAACTTTTATGTATTTGAATGCTTGCCTGTTAAAGGAACTTTTTTGAGAATTCCCATGTGAGGTTGATGTATGTTCTATAAATATGTTTATTGGTAAGCGTCTGAGAAAGAATTTGTATTGTAGTAATTAGTTAATTTAATTTAAGTAAAATAAAGTGCTGATTTCCGAGATGGGTTCGATATTTTACATGTTATATGAAATATAAAAACCATATTATAATAGATAGGTGCATAATTTTTGTTTTACAATTTATTTTAAACAATTAAATGAAACCTCTATATTATACATATTTAGTATTTATCTATAATATATATAATAATAAGTATAGAAATCAAATTGTTTTAGTATAGAAGAAAAGAAGAAAAGATCTCTAATATGTTAATAGCAGCATCGCCATTCTGTGAAACACAGTTAAACTGAATACTGTACAATTTTTAAAACTTAAAATATATATCGATAGCGTCAACAAAATATTGTAACAAAAATATTTGCTACTATAATATTTTAATTAAATAATAAAAAATAAAAAATTAATACAAATAATAAATAAAAAAAAACAAACAAATGTTCGGGTTTAAAATTTCTAAATTGTTATAACCTGTAATCAGTTATAAATTTATAACGTAAGCGTTAACGTTATAAGTTACTATCAAAAACGACAAAATAATTTATTGAGAATTATATCTTATTAAGACTCGAATACAAATAAACATCTATATATGCATATAAAACAATAAGTCTTAACTCCCTCACACACTCATTGATTTGACATTGCATAATCTAGCCGGAACCACTGAAACTATGAGTATATTATATGGTCAGTAATTTTATTTTACGATATTGAGATGCATTAAAAAATAATTTTTTTAAATGCAATCTTCAAAAAGGTCAAAAGGGGTTAAAGAAATAAAAATAGAAAAAATTACCTAATAAGAGCTGTTGAAACTAGGAGTATGACATTTGGTCAGTATTTTGATTTCATAATGTAAAAACCCACCAAAAAAGAATTTCCCAAATTATAAGCGTTGAAAGATTTAAAGATTTTAAAAAAGCTGAAAATGAAAAATTTATTTTTGTCAGATTTCTTTTAAAGTTAGCATATATAGGTACTCTATAATAATTATTGTAATTATTTATAATTTTAAATCTATATTTTATATTCCGTCAAAACTACTAAAATGGCTGTTAAAGGTAAGGTAGGTAAAGTAGGTAGTTTTTAAGTGATAGAGTAAATTTACAGGCATTATTAAATGTATCACAGCAATACCGAATGAAATCAGCTAGAATAGAATAAATTAAAAAAAAAAAATGAATATGACGAATAAAATAAATTTAAAAAACTTAATAAAATAAATCTGCGATTTCTGGCACGATTAACGTATATTATTCTTAAACATCATAAAACGAGATACATCATACATATTGCAAACTTTATGTATAATGTATAATGTATATGTACAAAAAATATAAAATATGAAAAATGTAATTTAAAGTATTTATAAATAAAAAAAACTATAATCATTGTTACTTAGACTTAGTAAATAAATAATTATTTCATGAAATATTCTTAGAAATATTATACTGACCATCTCCGCTTTGTTATTTTTCGTATGAAATGATTTATTATTGAATTCAAAATTAACACATCCATAACAAAGCCTATTCAATGATGAGACATATTATATAACAGAAAATCAAGCTTGTTTTAAAATTGAAAAGTAAGCTTAAGGATTACGTTTTACTACCAATGATTTTTTTTTTTCAGTGAATCATATCATCATATTTGCAGTAAATAGGAATAAGAACTAACTGATAAGACGTGATGAAACGATTTGAAAGGTAAAAGTACTTTAACAAATAAATGTACGTTAATATTGTATGAAATTAACAAAACATTTATCATATGATTTTCTTTAACTAGAATCATTACTAATAATTTTTTTTCTCTACGCATCCTTAATCGGCTGGTGTTATAACAATAATGCATAAACAACATAATATAAACATAAATAACAGCCAAAAATTAATAGACATAAAAATTTTGTTTCAAAATTTAACATATTTTTTTCAACATGTTAGAAATATAAATTACTTTAACAACTTTAATATATTGATTATTTTATTTTTAAATATGATATAACCAATTTTATTCAATAACAATATACATAAATAACATATTCAGTAACTACTAACTATAGACATTTATAAAATGAAACAATAAATATTTTATTGATAAAATATGAAGTTAGATTTATTTATTCTATACAAAATATTTTTTTTTTTTATACTTAAATATTCAAATTTCAAAATTAATACAATGATTATATATAAATACTATTAGAATTTAAGTATAAATAATAATTTAATACTGCATTGCCTCGAAACTCGAGTTTACTAAAAAAAATCAATCAATAAATTGAGGTGCTATTCACATAATCTTCACTTTATTTTTAACGTCTCAGTGTTTCTTTTATGCATCTACCATAAATAATGTATAAAAATAAAATGTTTATAGTATTTTTGTGTATTTAACTACAGAAAAATATAAATGATGCATTATAACAATTTTGTATTTAATAAATAAGTTACTTAATCATAATAATGTGTTATATATTCAAACTACAGTAAAATTAATTTATATACAATACATCTTTTAAATTAATTCCAAAATAGATATGATATTATTTATATTTATAGAATATATCCATAGGCATGTTTTTAAATATTAAAATTATCAATTTATAACTTGAATTATTTTTATTTAAACAATTTTAAATTTAGCTATTCCAACTAATACCACATATATTACATATTAAATTAATTTTTCTCACGAAAAAAAAATAATCATATATTATTTGTAAAATGAATTTGTCTATTATAAGCACATAATTTATTTACAATGTGAAATGCACAAGATTCTGCCATTACACATTTATGTTCATATGATTATTATAAATAACTATTGTTAGAAGTAATTTTCTACCTGTCAGACTATTTAAGTTACATACTTTTCTATACATATTTACTTATGTATGTATTTATTTATTTATTCATTCATTTACATTGGTATTTATATTTATATTAACTATATTTATATTCTTAGTGTTAATATTTTTGTTACAATATTATTTTGTTGACGCTATCGATATATATTTTAAGTTTTAAAAATTGTACAGTATTCAGTTAAACTGTGTTTCACAAAATGGCGGTACTGCTATTAACATATTAGAGATCTTTTCTTCTTCATAGTTGGTGTTTGTGAATGACTAATTCTAATTCTGTTGACGGAAGTTTGTGTTTTTATCAAGATGTCAGGTGGTAAAGACTATTTTTGTGAATATGATTTTTAATATGATATAATTTTGAAGTTCCTTGTGTTCATATTTGTTATTTTTTATTGCTAGATTATATTACTTTTATTTTCACTGTAGTAAGGTTATGTAAAATTTTGAGGTGAAATTAATTAGAATGATAGTGTCTTAGGAAGATTCTTATTGTCTAGCGTGCTTTTTCGTTTTTTAACTAAAGATTTGATTATGGTTTGGTATCCATCGTTTTGTAAATCGTTTTTAAATTATAGTCAAATACTAACAAATATACATGGAATCTCGTCCAAATTTGAGTTTTAAATGTCTATAAAAAATAGATCTTTGCCGATGGGTTTCGATGTTTTTTCTTTCATTTTTATAAAAACGATGTAACGGGACAACACTGATACACACAATGACTAGCAAGACGCTGATGGAAACAAGGAGGGGAAGAACAATCGGCCAATGAGAGAGTACGTTCAAATCGCTA